TCCTTCTACAGGGAAGAATCTGCTTTGCCCTTGAGCAAGCCCATGTCCCACTGCTGCCTGCTCACTGCCACTGATGCAACACTTGCCGAACCAGCTGCAAATAACACTTGCAACTACGTTACAGGTGCATTAGAACTACCTGAGAGAGGAATTCCCGTTCAAGTACAACTTCTTCCTGCCTGCTTCCAAGTGAAAACAGGCCCTCCTACAGGGAGCCAGCCACACAGGGAGAAATGACTTTTGCACACAGCACTCATAACAGGAATCTTCAAATAATACTTAATTAAGCAATTAATGACTCGAACCACATCACACTCTCTGTGTGCAAACAGCTCAATCAAAGCTTCAGAGCACCTGGAAACCTATTTATGCCAAATGCCATGGTTTCCTGACCCTACTCATCAGCACAACATTCATTTCACATAAGTCTTAAAGTCAGCTAAGTACCTATCAGCATCTCAAAACCGTTTCTTATAAGCTACACCAGGAAGAAGCACTGTGGATATAAACAAAGACATAATACTTGCACAGTTAAGAATACATTCTCAAAGGAGACTGTATTCCAACACTACAATACACACCCACTGGGCAAAAGACCACAGAACTGCACAGTGACTTACACAGGTCTCGGAGAGAATGACACCAGCTGACAAGATGCAAACTGAAGATAAACCACAGTCTCCACGCAGTACCACCAATGGGAAACCTCTGCATCACCCACAGGCAGAGTCGCACAGAAGGGTGACAGGACCGAGCAGAACGCGCATGGAGCACAGCCCTGTTCATATAGAGGCAATTTCTGCTGGACAATGCAACTCACCACAAAACAGTCCAAATAGCCACAGCTTACTACTGATTAAAGCTATATTATGTTCTAAGGGTGACACCAAGTTCAACAGCATCTCAGTCCCAAGCTGACAAAATAGAAATGAAGCCACACTAACAGTTACAGCAAATGCTACCTCCAAGGCCCACTGCCCATCATCAGTACAGGTCTCCTGGGGGCACACTGGGAAGCCCTGCGACCTTACATATGTGACACCCATCACTGTCATCCTGAGTGTCTCTCTGCTCACTCTTTGCACCGTCTGACCCTAAGAGGTCACACCAGACACCCACTGAGCCCACCTATGGGTGCTGGCAGGAATGGAACACTCGCACCCCAAGATCCTGGAGTGTAAGGCACATGAAGGAGACAGAACAGAGAAAAAGAAAGGGAGTCCTCCTTGGCGCTCTCCGAAAGAGGCTTGGGAAAGGCTCATCCCCAAGGTCCCCAAGGCCTTTGCGCAGGTGACACACAACAACCCCAAAGGACAATCAGAATGCAAAGAGCGCACAGAAGAGCTCCAAACAAAAAGGACCACATGAAAACAAACAGGAAGGAGAGGGTTTGGTGAACCCCAGAAATGGAAACGAGACCAGCATGGCTGGGCCAGAATCAGAAACGGGGTGGAGAGGCAGGAGGGTTCATTGTATGAGCCAACAGAAATGAGAGTCCAGGAAAGGGATGGCGCCATCCAATTAGAGGAAACACCAAACCACACATGCTCCAATCAGAACCATATCTGAGCAAATTTAAGTAAGAAAAACAGCATATTGCGTGTTGTAGATGCATAGTTTTCCGACCCATATCACAGCAAAGAAATAGAGCACATTCTCTGTGGAGAACTGCGTGACGGGATATGGTGTAAGAGAGTCTGCAGTCAGAAACTGGAGACCACCACGGACAAAGGAAAGGAAAACAAAGACAAGGCTGCTCCAAGCTAAAGCAGCACGATTACAGAAGTCCCCGCAGAAGGCTTCACTGGTATTTAACTCTTTTACCACCTGGTGCACAACTCAGAAATCTCAATTTTGTAATGCTATAAAATAGTTGATGTTGTACCAAGAACTATAGAAAAGAATGACAGTCAACTAGCCAAATCTGCTTCGTAAGGCCTTCTTTACGCTCTGACATTACATTCTGTTTAGGAGCCTTACCTTCATTGTGTCAATCTTCCCTTTAACTTGTTCATTTTTCGCCAGAGCCCTTTCCAGGCACTCTTTGGTGTAGAGTTGTGGGTTTCGACCTTGATCTATGTATCTGGAAACAGGAAACACCTAATTAACACTCTCTTGGCTAACATCTATTCTCAGTTTTCTTACGGAAAATAAAAGTTAGCTATATATAACTTCACATGGCCAGTTCAGAAGAAGCTGTGTCCAGAAACCAGGTAAATTAAGATTTCTTCATTTACACAAGGATAGATGATGTGATCTCACATTACTTATAGTAACATGAACGACGTATAAAATCAAGTATTGCCCGGCTGGGCATGGCTCAGCGGTTGAACGTCGACCTAGGATCCAGGCAATCAGGGTTCGATTCCCGGTCCGGGCACATGCCCAGGTTGTGGCTCAACCAATGACTCTCTCATCATTGATGTTTCTATCTGTCTCTCCCTCTTCCTTCCTCTCTCTGAAATCAATAAAGATATATTTTTTTTAAAAATTAAAATAAAATAAAATCAAGTATTGATCACTTGCAAACCTGGCAAGCTCCACAGCCACACTTCACATTTATAGCATCTGTGCCTCCCAAAGGCTTCATGACCATTACCTTCTGATCTTCACAATTACCTGTGTGTGAGGTTAGGAAGCTGTCGATAAGAGAGAGCTAAGAGTGGGCCAGGGTTTTGGGCCCAGCAACACAGGGGAACCAGGGAGAGCCTTCCAAGGTGCAGCCTACACTCCAGGTCCCTGTCCCTTTGGGAATCGTTTGTGGAGGGACCTCGGGCTTATGGAGGAAGAAGGGGACAGGGCTGTAAGCAGGACAGCCAGTCCCTGCTCACCCCAAAATTATTTTACAAACTATTCCACTGATTTCAGAAGGGGGGGGGAGCATACTACTAAATAACCTAAACAACTTGAATTTAACAGAGACAGAGATTCTCTTCAATTATTTCTAAACAGTATAAAATTGTTTTTTGAAATTGTCAGCACTTGTCCCCAAAATGTCTTCATTATCCCCAAAATTTCATTAAGAATACTGCCCAGATGAATATGCACATTTCACCAGCGGAAGGCAGCTATCTCCTTCTGCACCCCATAGACCTTCTATCACTCAGCTAACCTGGGCTATTCATTACAAAGAAGAAAACTACCACCGCCACACTAAGTCTGACTTAAGGATTTTAATGTTTCAGCAAAAAAAACTATCACTTCAGATTAAAGGCGCTGTCAAGTTACTGTTAATGGCATAAAAACTAGGCTTTAATTATGACAGACAGCAAAAAATTAATAAATCACAAGTTCTAGAAATTCCATTTATTGCAATGTTTTTGAAATGATGGAATGAAGGAAGCAGAATTATGATTAATTATAAACAAAACCCATCCATTTCTGGAGAAGAGAAACCACCTTATAGGTTCAAGTGTCCTAAATAAACAACCATTCAACAGCAATGTTGTTCAGATTGGCCTCTTTTTCTAGACCCCAAGGGCTGAACCCCACTTCTGCCAACACACCCACCATGTGAGGTTAGGAAGTGCTGGACAGAAGAGCCCAGGCTGACATCTTATCTTTGTTACAGTCAGTGTGTCGGCAAGTGTGTCCTGAGAAGGCGACTGTGGGCTTGGAAACTCCTTCTACCTCATGCAAAATTGACTGACAGTTTGCACTGCTTATTAGAGCCCAGATGCCACCTCATTCCCAATACCCCAGGTGAGTCTCCACTGTCCCTTCTGTCCCTCCGCTGAGGCTGGCGCTGAGCGGGCTGAGGCTCCGCTTCCCACTGTCCTTCAGTTATCTCTCCCCATCATCTCACCCTCATTTGCCCCACTTCAAAGATACAAGCAGTTACTGTCAATACACCCATTCTGCACAGTCATGACCAGAACACACTCAGGAGGAAGGCAAAGTAGCCTCCACCTTCCCACACTTTACAAATCGGCACCATCATCCACGAGTCCAGAGCTATAACTCACATACATGACCTTCCTCCCACCTGAAGCCAGAGAACTCAGTGGGGCCGACTGAGAACATGCAGAGAAAACATGACACCACAGCCAACAGGCGAGGATGGAGCCGAGCCCATGAAAACTGTAGCCTGAGTGTCTTATCTTTGTGGATAGCTGCTGAGCTGTGTTGTTACTTGGACTTGTAGCTCTGACTTTGGGGGATGTAAAACAACAATAGCTTTTCCTTTACGGTTCAAGGAAATTGGTGGTTTTCATTTGCAGTTTTACTGCAAAATGTACAAGCAAGCTCTTGCAGATCGGAGCCAGGTCCAGGAGGGAGAGGCTTCTTGTCACAGAGAAAGTAGCCCTGGTTGAGGAAGGACAAGTCCAGGATTTTAATCTTAACTCTGATACTGACTAGTAAATAGCCCACGGCAGTTACTTATCAGTTCCTTCACCTGTGAAATCAGGAGTGTGACAACCAAACCAGTGTGATAAAACCTGGATTTAAAAAAATTTAAAAAGTTTATTTCATGGATGCATTCTCTGGGCCATGACTATGACTATGGTAAGCACACATAACCTCTTGCAGAAAACCATGAACAGCCTTTCCAGACTTAGTTGGCCTAAGAACCTATTTTTCCAACAGAGCATATATAACCACCTCCCAGAACTAGCAATGTCAGGGTTGTATGGGAGGCACCAGACCAGATTACTTTCCAGGTTGTTTCTGGCTATAACTTTTTTTTAATTTAAAATATAACCCACTTAAGACTTTCAACCTCTTTTTTCTCTTTTTTAAGTTAAAAGGGAAGTTATGTGGCTATCCTTCTGTCTAAACAAAACTTTGAGAGTCTATGAGGTTTTCCATATTTCATATTTAACATGCCTTTATTCACAAGTAACTCTTTTTCAACAATACCATATTGAGATATTTTTAAATTGTTAATCCCATAAGAACACAAAACTCTATGAAGGCAGGCGTTTTTGTCTATTTTCTTCATTGGCATATCCCTAAGCACCCAGGCTGTGCTTACCACATACCAGGAACTAAAACAAACATGAATGAAGCAGTCATTATACCACAACTAAACGAGAATTATACTTGAATGAGTATCAGAAATGGTACTTACTCAAAAACTTCTAAAGGTACAGTAATATCATGAAGTTGCTGTCTGCACTTGTCAATATCCTGTAAGCCAGTCACGATAAAATTCCTGGGGGAAAAGGCAAAAATGGGGCATCTGGTTAACTGCATGATACCATGAACACCACCCACCTGGCCAACTAGGGTTCCACAAAAGTGCTTTTTCTACAGGCAGGGGTTACACATAGCACAGAACTTTTTGGTTACCTACAGAATTCCAAGGGTTTGGAATTACAGAATACCCTCAGATCTTTGTTGGTTTGCTTTCTAAACTAGAAATTGCCAGAACTGGGGGACAGGAACCAACCTCCTTGAGAATCTGATGAAAAATATGAACCTTCTCTCAAAAACAATCACCCTGATGTGCACTGTGATTTTACGAGTGGGTTTCAGAGAACACACAGGGCAGTGGACTCCAGCTTAAACACCCATCCTCAAAGTCTGAAGGGAAGAAAGCCATCACTGCCTGGTTGAATTTTAGCTCCCCTAGGGAGCCTTCCTAAATCATCTGGCTAGTCCCACTGCAAAGGATATGTAACGCCAGGTTGCAATTATATGTTTGTATGCCTATGCCCCCTATAAAGCTGTGAGCCCTTCTCCAAAGCACTCTATTTGCGTGTTTGCCTTTGCCCATCCTAGGGCCCAGCACTAGGGCCAGCACAACACCTGTTGCCAAAAAAATACTAGTTAATAAATAGTCTGCGGCCTTTCTCCCCGCCCCAACCCCCAATTTCTCCACATTCAGGCCTGTGCAGCAGGTGGTGTGCGCAGCCCTCGTCCTCCAGGGCCCACTCAGTGCACTCCAAGTGAAGCCCGCCTCCCCTCTGGGGACAGACAGGCTCTGAATTCCCCGGAGAGTTCAGGAGGAAACGTTGGGAGTCACAAGCGCACAGGGAGAGGCTGAGATAATGAAGTCTGACTCCCTCGGATGGGGCCCCAGGACAGACACTCTTTTGTCCGGCATGATAACGTCTCCAAATGGGCCCTCAAGGTCCCAGCAAGGAGGAGGGCCGGCAACAGGCGGCAGCTGCGAGACCGCTCTGGGCGCACAGCCTGGAGCAGGAGTCCGGGAGGGACCAGGCCCAGAAGAGAACCGGAGAGAGGATGTGGCTCTCTGCCCGGCCCTCGCTCCCCGATCCCGCTTCCCATCCCGGCTCTCCTAACGGACGCTGCCGCGCAGGCTCCGGGGAAACGCCGCGCATTGGGGCCGCCACTTACAGTTTTTGGTTGAGCCCGGCCTGGCTGCTGGGCTGGAAGTCGCTGACGATGATGCCGAGCTGCCGGATGTTCTCCACGAATTTCTCCAGATGTTCCTCCAGGTGGTCGAACTTCTCCGCCATTGCCCCACAGTTAGCAACGCCACCGGCGTCTCCTAGCTCCGCCGCTTCCTGCTTCCGCCCGAGAGCACCACCACTTCCGTT